TCACTTATTAGCACGTTATTTCGTTATAATTGTCACAGGTATTTAAAAAAAATAGAACTCGACGAGACTAGCATGGTGTCTGGTGTTACCTAAAACCGGCGCATGCGTTTTTGCTCAACTACTATATATAGTTAACGATTACCGTTAAACCAATTAAAATTCTTTGATGATTAATGTCTCAATCTGTAACTTTTTTATAATGGTATATATAACAAGTTTTAATTTAGTCATACTTGAACGTAATTTTAAAGTGTTTAATATCCAATTCTGAAAAAAAGGTGGCTCAGTTATGGTGTTGTATTACAAGCCCCACTGACGGACATTGACTTCAGTCATTGGTATATTTACATTACGATAACTGCACATAGGTGAATACATATGTGAGTTGAAAACACACTCATGACACATCCGGCCCAGATACCATGACATCCATGAACTAGTTCCACAATCAACCGACAGATGCAAATGACCAAAAATCATGTGCAACTGGAAATACAAGTGACTGCATGAGTGCTACACAAAGACATTTTCATCAATCTTAGTGTCTTACTGAAAAATTAATATTTTACCCCCGCTAAAACTACTCTATTTTTGCTGAGAATTATGTTTGTGACAAACTACCTGATTTTTGGTCAATGAGCCCACAAGCTTCGTCATCGGAAAACAATCATGTCAAATATGTTTACCGTAAAATAATTACCATTTTAGTTGCATGAAAAGTTTCATGTACTTGGCCATGGTATACGGTATAAACATATGTGGCAAACTACATGTATATGTAAATTAACTATTATTTATGGCTTAATTTAATACAGATGTTCGTTCGTTCATTGATTATCTCTCAATATGGCGAGCATCCCCGTACTGTCTTCACGCCAGGTTTCTGCCTCTTTTTTCCGTAATATAATCTTGACACAACCATCTTCGACCTAACAAATAAACAAGCCATGCATGGCACAGTCCCTGTTAGTTATCAAATTTAAGATGTATAGCAATATGGAATCTGGTTTTGGAATGCTGGAAATGCTTGATTTTTGATATTTTAGCACAATAATGGCAGCTATATGGCCAACTTGAATCAGATCATGAAACAAATTAATGTGCATATGTAAGTTTGAATGTAATCGGCCCAGGCATGTGTAAGATATGCACGGATACACAAACACACGCACAGAGATCAATTCATAAGTCCCTATCAGACTGCATCCTAACAGGGACTACTAATGATAGTCATCAGTTGGATCCAAACTACGTTCTTGATACAGTGTGAATATACAATGAAAATTTTAGATGCAATAATGAATAAAATTACTTAAATGGGTTTTAGCCAATGTATTGTGTCAACAGAGTTGAACCGCATGTAGATACACTCAAATAACGCACCTGAGTTTTGCATTTTCTTCCAACTATCGGTTTATATAATTGCTTGCCATTGTATTCCAACCCATAGAGGGAAGACTTAGTTTCGACGTGCAGTGTGAAAGAACTGTAAATCAATAAAATCAATCAAAGATTAATAATCAATGCAACAACACAAAGGTTTTCTTGAAAATCAATTTGGCTTACTACAACCGGGTTTACAAAAGACATCTAATCTGCAATGATTTGCTTGCCACTGTTTGGTGGTACCGGTAGTATGTGGCATCAATTGCGTCAAACTTTTCCCTTCCTTACAGATGTAGTTTGAGCTGATGAACATCAACTGTATAATTGTTCTGACATGTCATCCATCAATTAAAACAATGTTTTGTGAGTGTCAACAATTAGAAAAAGTTGACTCATATATAGAATGTGTGAAGTTTATTCATGTCACCCTAAGAAAAGTATTGTTTTTATGCAGCTATTTTTCTATTTTACAAATTTCTATTTACCTGTTCTCCTGCACTATAGATATTTATTTTTACTCGTTATCAAATTGATCTTTGACTTTTATTTGTTGTTTCATTTTCTTCCATTTTGAAACACCAGGTATGTTGGTTTCAATACAAATGTCAGATGATACTTACTCGTTATCAAATTGATCTTTGACTTTTATTTGTCCTTTCATTTTCTTCCATTTTGAAACACCAGGTATGTTGGCTTCAATACAAATGTCTGCAAAATTACTAGATTCAGATATTCCTGAAAACAAAGCAATCCTAAATGATTAGAATTAGATTCATATTACATTCGTAATTGAGATTACAGTACATGGTGTCCATTTCACTAGGTCATGGAGGTAGAAAATGACTAGGCTGAGCTGAGATCAAATTTCTGGACAGTGCACGCACCATGTATTGTATGGTCTGACTTCCAGCAATTAACAGGTCCTGGTGATGAATCTGACCAATCACATTTTACTAAAAGTGTCAATGTCTACCAATGACTGGATCTCCTACCGGGCATGCCTGTGTATATAATATGATTTCATTGAATCATTTTAAACATGTTTTTTGTCAACTAAGAATTTGATGACAGCTGTGTGCTTTGGAACCTTTGCAATTTCAAAGTTTAGTCATCAATTTTAATATTCACTTTGCAATGTAGCGTTTGATTGCCACATTTTAATATGTTAATGTCATGTGTCAAAAGTGTGTTAAAACACACATACAGATATTAACACAATCAGTACAATGTGTTTGGTTGTGTTGTATACCGAATATCGTACTCCTGTCAACCAGAGTACATTATTCTCTGCTCATTCACAGTCCCTCTGGCGCATCCTATTCTTATAGATACATGCTCGTATGACAAGTGATTATGTCATACCAATGTCCCTCTGTGGGGTCTGTGGTCATACTTACTAAGGTCTGTGACGTATTCTAATTCACGGTCGCCACTGTCAGCCATTGTTCACTCTCTAAACCATCCTGAAACAAAATATAATATCCCTATTACCGGGTAATAGATTATATATTTGTAATAGGTAACATGTTTGTGATTGTTTCCATGGTTATGCCACCGAAACTCAACACCGGTGGTTATGCTTTTGTGTTATAGTTGTATTAAAATTATTTACAAAAATATTTAAAGCAATAATCATAAAAATTAAGAAATCTATTGCGATTGTTGGTGGTGCTGCTTTGTGTGAAAGTGTTCAAAACCTGGTAAGATGGCAATACATGGCAATACATATATTATTGGGTTGCAGGTGCATGTTGTTTTGCTCGGTGATTCAATGCAATATGGCCGACTAGTGGCCAGCTGTTTTTCTTTTCTTTATGTCACCACATGAAGACAACAACCATTTTCAGTACAATGTATATTGAATGGTACATTTTCATTCCAACTTGTGAAGGAAAATATAAAAGATAAGTCTAGCTTAGTCTACCGGTACTATAGAAAGTTCAAGAACAAGATGAAGAGCTGCAAATCATATATGGAATCAGTGACAAATTTTAATGGGACACTTGGCTTGGAATAGGAAAAATAGAATTTGTGAAATAATACTTCTGAAGACTGCACTTGCCCATGTTCTAAGGCAGAAGATGAAACCCTGGAACATTTTGTTCTTCGTTGAAAATGTTTAGCAGAGCAGAGAGAAAAGCTAATGAGGGGAGAAAACAACCTTTATGCAGATTTTGAAAAAAAGAAGAAAAATAATATACTTATTACTGGGAGATAATACACATTCCTATAATGGTGACATTTGTACAGTCATTGACAAATTGTTTTTTTTTACAATTTTTTTCTATCGTTATTTAACATTTGACTTAATTTCTTTTTTGTATTTTTCTCTCTGATCTAACATTTGATCCAATTTTTGTTGTTTAATTTGTCATGTAATGCCACATTTGATTTGTAATTTTTGCAGATTCAAGATGGTTACAATAAATAACT